AAAAGTTACTTTTTTTACAAACAAAATATATCTCGAAAATAATGTTTCATATTTATTTAATAAATATTTTACTCTAAGAATATTTAATTTGCATGCAACTTAATAAGAAAAAGAAAAAAAAATGTTTTTTTTAGATCATAGCAATAAAAAATGAAAATCATTAATAATAATTTGAAATACGTTTTTATTTTAATTTTAGTTAAGTCATCAAAATGATGTGTCATCCACATCACCCCATTAAAGTCACACAAGCAAAAAAGTCATAGGGTTAACCGGTTTAAAAGGTAACATGTTATCCATTGCTATTATGTGTAGATTTTTTAAAGTATAATATCTTAATAAAAAATAATTTGAAAGTACATTGTTGTAATAAAAAAAACAAAAGTAGAATGTTAAAATAAGAAATTTTATGAAAGTAGGTTGTTATTTCATGCATTTAACCCTAAAAATTAAGACTAACATTTTTATACTTCGTTAATTATAAATATAGTTTTTATGATATCGAGTTGATTATGGCTATGATTTCTCTTACCAACATACACTTAAATATTATAATTTTTTTATAAAACCCGAAAATACCCCTGAGTTAATTGGGCTAACGGATTTTTGTTAACTCTGTTAATGAGAGGGACCATGGAGATATAGGACCATATACATAACAGGGATGTTTGTCATAATTTAAGACGTACAAGAGGGACCGAAAGCGTAATCAACTTTATGAATAATGATCGTATAAAAAACGTAAGTATAGATTATCCAAAAGATGTTTTTATATATAAGGAAAATCAGACGAAAACCCAAATTATGGGAATCTGTGAACATCAATCTTAGAGGCCGTTTACCAAACGCTTACTCGGGTAAATGAACACCAAGTCACATCATCTTACCAGATGAATATGATAAGAACCAAGAATCTTACTCGGTAAAAGCGAGACATAGACCAAGAGCTTCCCCTGTAAGTAAGGTCGACAACTCTTATCACGGTAATTTCTTACAAGATAAATTGTTGCCGATGATACCGTTTTAGTAGACTAAAATCTTACTAGGTAAAAAAACATCATATTTTAATTTAATTTAAAATATGTGACACTAAAAGGTACAATGTTTTCTTGCACGAGTCAAACCAAGAAAACCGTGAAAGTCAAAATTGCCGGCAATCACGCAATTCACACACACGCGAGACAACATGTCAAAGTCAAAGAAATTGGTAGCCAATTCTCTAGTTTTATGGAATTTGTTTAACCTTTAAAAATGTGGTTTACCAAACATTTAACCGGATAAACATTTATCAAGTCAATTTATTTTATCGGATGAATATAGTAAAAACTAAGAATCTTATTCGGTAAGAACGAAAGTAAGAATCTTAAATCTTACCCGGTAAGTGATGATAAATATTTTTACCATGGTTAGCGCTTACCACGATAAATTGTTGCATATGAAGCATTTTAGTAAATAAAATATTGTCCGATAAGTAAGTGATAGTGTTGAATTTTACTAGTAGGTGTTTAAGTAAACGGCCCCTAAGGTTTTTAATTAATTATTTGTAAAAATATGTATTACATAAATAAAAATATTAGATTCGTTAGTTTTCACCAGTTGATTTATATGTTACTGAGACAATCTGCTGTTGGGATGTTACATAATTAATTTTATGTTATAATAACGACAAATTTGATGTGGTATGAGTATAAAGTGTTTTAAACTGATTTTTTTTTAAATACAGAGTAAATTACATTGTTGATTCTTATGGTTCTTTAAACGCACTATTTACATCGAATTCAAGGTTCTTAACTTTTTATTTTCATGATACTGTTGATACCTCAAGTTAACATCGTTAACTTGAGGTCTATTAGCTACCCCATGTGGCCCTCACATGAGGGGCAATTTCGTCCAGATTTATTTGATAAATGTTCATCTTCATCTTCTTCATTTGCTTTTAAGTACATCAAGATTATTTATTATGGATCTTCATCAATAAAATCAACAACAAACTAAGCATACAAACGCAAATCAATTAAAAGAACTTCTAAATACAAAACAAACTGATAGTGGTGGTCCAAGCATCGTTGACACCAAACCCATATCTAATAAACCTAGAAGATGATCGATATGCTTGTGAAGATGTACCAAGTCTGGAGATGGCTGAGGAACAGGTAAAAAAGCCAAAAAGATATATCAATATTGATGTCAAATTAAGTATTATGAAATCCTCCTTTTTGGTATAATTGAATAGTTATTTTTTAGATTTTAAAATAATTATGGAATTTATTACAGTTTTAATGTTGTACAGTTTTTTTGTGCACACAAAATATGATAAAATATTCTGGTTTGAGGTTATCCAGCTCATGTTTTACTGTGTTTATTGATTGATTTATTGGTTACTTTTATGATAGTCACGTAAAATTTATTTGTAAGCTTGAACTTTTAAGTAATTATGCATTATCTAACATTTAACAAGTTAGTTTTATAACCACCCTCCCGTTTCCAGTTATCTAAAACTACCTTTTTCCGGTGGGAACACACTCTTGCAGAAAGCATAAGAGTGTACGAAAGCGAAGACTGTTGCCTATGCTCCCTTTCACTTCGTCGGCCACTGTTTCAACAAGTCGTGCCCCTTCTTGTAGCAACAACCACCACGCTGTCGATCTCCTTTTGATCGTCGTTGTCTCCGCACCTTTATCTTGATTATGTGAGGTGCACCAATTATACTCAACGGACCCATATTTGATGGCATTAGCTTGAGCGACCAATGTGTAATGTGAAACGTAAATTAAGAACCCCGTATATATTTAACACGTTTTAGACACCGATGTAAATTGTAATTCACTCTTATGGTAATTTTTGTTGGATTTTTCCATTTTGCTAAATTCCAAAACTCTTGGTAGCACCGACACACTTGACATAGGAATATTTTGAATATAATTTTTTTTTTTTACCTTCATAATTTTTTTACAGTCAGTATTATATTTTGGGGTTAAAACCATCAATCAAAAAACTTAAAAAGTTACCTTGGAATAGTAAAATTTCGCTGAAAACACATTGGATGACTTTGCAGGACTTTAATCCACCTTAAAAATACATCTGTTCTACAAAAATTCTAGATCCGTCACTGATCAAAATACCATTAAATTTTAGTAAATTGAAACTTACTTTTATTTTCTATTTTGTTAACTTAATTGTTTTCAACAATAATAAAAGTATACTTTGACTTTATTTAAAAGTCAATCCCTAACTTAAAAAAACATGATTTAGCTGAAGTTTATGGGTCGTTTACCAAATGCTTATTCGGATAAGCACTTACCAAGTTACATTACCTTACCGGTTGAATATGGCAAAAGCCAAAAATATTACTCGGTAAGAGCAAGACAAAGACCGAGATTCTTACATGGTAAGTAAGAACAATGACTCTTACCACAGTCGACTCTTACCAGGTAAATTGTTGCATATAAAGCCGTTTTTGTTGACTAGAATTTTACCCAGTAAGTAAATGATAGTGTTGAATTTTACTGGTAAATGTTTTGTAAACGACCCCTTGGACATATTTTTTTATGATTGTAGTGTTATTGGTTTTATCTCAATGAGATTACAATGATCCATAATTCCCAACATGTATAATTACGAAAAAAAACATAAAAAAAAACATGATTAAACTGATATTTTTTTCGACATAACATTATTTGTACTCGTTTAACTGTAAAATGATTAATAAAAAAGTGTTTACTGCTTGTAAACTCAATTTTTTTTATATTAAGCACATGATTTAACGAACTTTTAAACCAACAGTTTATACAAATTTAGTATTAACACAGTGTGTCAAGGGTGTTTGTTTTCTACAGTAGGCAACATGTAGAATTTTGATTGCGTTGTTAGCAAATGGACAACTCCATTTATGTGTCTGATAAATTGAATCTTAATTGACAGATCAATAAACCTGCAATAGTTATGATCGCTCCAAATGCAGTATCGTTTTCCTCCCATTTACCAGATGCATTGGTTACAACTTGAAACCCTGACTCAAACACAACTTTGTTGGTATCTTATTTCTTGAAACCATGAGATGATTCCGTCCGGATCAGAGCTCACATTTCCTTTACCTCGGGACACCATCACGAGTTTGTTATCTGATTACATAAACAGAAGACTTTTACAACAAACATAACACAGATTTTTGTTTTTGATTTAGTTTTCGCGATTTTTTCCTTTTAATAAAAAAATATATTACAACGTGTATTTTGATTTTCTTGTTAAACAAAAATTGTAATTCATTTTACGTTATAAGAAAGGATAGTATTAAACCATAAAGGTGGTGCTTAATTGGTTTGACTTGGGTTCTACAGGTCAAAAGTGTCTGGATGTCTCAAGTTCAAATCCAATGAGGAATCCACGGAGGTTTAAATGTAATGACTCCGGGCTACCCACAGAACAAGTGGTCTTCATAAGATTAGTCAACTTGCATAACGGATTGGATATCCAGATTAATAAAAAAATAAATAAATAAGATAATATTATCAGATAAAATACTTTATTTGTTTTTTTAAAAGAATAGTACATTGATTTTGCAGTAAAATGTTTTGTATATACATATATCACCATTTCCAATGTGTGTGTGTGTGTTTTGTCATCTTCACACCTTGGTTCAATTGTCATAACTCCATATTTGTTATTTAGTTATTTAATTTATTTATGGTGGATACATAATGTTATTATATCTGCTTTTATTTATATCAAAATCAGATTAAATTATGTATAGAAAATATAAAAAATAAGTTTTAATGTTGATATATATGAGAAGGAAATTATTAAAGATGGTATATTTAGCAACATATAGAGATAAATTTTACAGCATCTCCAATGAAGGTTCTTATAAAAACCAACTTTTTGTATTGTTTTTGCTACATCGGATTAAGAACCTGTACAAATGTCTATGTTGGCGGTTCTTAGAAAAACCCCTTTTGTTAGTCTGTATTTTTTTTTTCAAGTTCAGTAATTATTATATCTTTATAATAAATATCAAATATTTAATCTAAAAAGCTAACAGAACATCATACACCAAGTTCAAGGTTCGAACCAAAGTTTTGAACCAAAGTTCAAGTTTTTACAAGTTCAAGTTTTGAACCAAAGTTTTAGTTCAATGATAGTTTGAACTAAACTAGCATTGTGGACTCACACCTTATTCAGTTAACTATAGATGACTGGTTAGTATTGGCTTAATGATATAAAAAGTGGTTTATTCAGTAAGTTTTTAGGAGAGCTTTATGCAAAAAAAAAAAAAAGTCTTTTTCCCCAAAATTTTCCTTCCGAATTAAAAGAACTGGTTAATTTCATTTATGAAAAAACCTCGAAAATAAAAACCCTCTCAATTTATAGGACAAACTGATCCACATATACAGATTTATCAATACAAGACTTAATAGAAAACCATCATTTTATATGTCTTAGTTCATTTGATTCTATTATAATACTTGTACATAAGATGCACTATTTTTGCCACTGAATTTAAGTTACGTGAAACAGATTATTAAGACATTTATAAGGTTTTATAAAACATATTTTTAGTGTCTCAATGTAGATAACTGTTGAGATACGCTCAGGCTCAGCTGCTTACTTGATAAGATGTCTCTAATTACTATTTTCGTTGAACTTTTTCATATAATCTAGATTATGGATAAACTCCCAAATTCTATTATATAAACGTTGAAAACAAACCAAATGGTCTTTGGCTCTAGCGGTATTGTAGTCATTAGTCTCCTAGGAGGTCAGGGGTTAAAAAACAATATAATTAATATAAATAGAATAAAAATACATAAATATCAATTTTTATAATAAATTAATAAAACTAATAATCATGTGATATTTAATATAAATACCCTTACAACATGGTATGGATTAATGGCATAATTTAATAGAAATTGCATGTTTATATTCATATTTTATATCAATTTTTTGTCCTTTCCAAACAAATAAAATCAATTAAGAGGGGTTTGTCTCATTAAGACAACATGAGTCCCACTATATGTTGTACAACCATCAAATAAATATTACTTTATTATTAATTATAATCTTAAGTAAAAGGGTTGATATTTTTAGAACTGATTTAGGGCTTGTTTATTAGCAGTTTCATGAGTTTAATGAACTGATTTAGGACTTGTTTGTTAGCAGTTTGATGCGTTTAACGAGACTCACCAACTTAAATAAAAATCCCCTTTTGGCCACAGAGGTTCAAATGCAGTGACTCCGGACTACCAGCGAAGCGGGTGATCACCCGAAGATTAGTCAGCTCACATAACCAATTGGATATCCAAGTTAATAAAAAAAATTATATAAATGCTTCTAAAATATATTATTCATTTTATTTAAAATAATATGAAATATGGGCACATAGCTTAAATCATGGAATTGCTTTTCCTTTTACCCTTTAATCATTCACTATTTTTTAAGGCTTAAATCATGGATTTTGTTATATTATAATTTAGAGTAAACTACAAATTTGTCCCCATGGTTTGTCAAAATTAACATTTTTTGTCCCTATAATTTTAAAACTACAAAATATTAATCGTGATTTGTAAAAACATTTAGGTTTATGTTACTTGTTTTAACGGCCGTTAAAAAATTCCGTTAAATGAGAACGTTTTTGTCATTTTATCGATATTTTGTCTTTTACAAAATGGTAATCAGTTTTATGGTTTTGGTCTCTGGTTTTTTATTGGGTAAAAAGCAAAAAATTAATAAAATTATGAAATATATTTTAATTAACGAAATTTTTTAACGTTCGTTAGAGAAAGACCAAATCCATACGTTTTTTGCAAACCATATAAGCTATCTTGTAATTTCAAGACTGTAGGGATGAAAAGTTTTATTTCGACAAAGTACAGGGACCAAATTTGTAGTTTACGTTTAGATTTATTTAAATTTAAAAAATTTAATTACTAAAAAGTAATAACATAATCATGTACCAAGTATTCAAATTTCTCTAAAGCAATCCCATCATTCTGCGAACGTTACTCAACGGTATAAATGATACAAAAAAGTTATTATTGATGGATCATTTATTCATTTTTAACGATCAGTTATTGACAATCGTTAAAATGGCGTGAGACGCGTCATAGCAGTGAGCTCAAACCTTAAGCCTTAAGCCTTACACGTCACAGGCCCACAGCAAAGCCTCGACATTTTTAAGTCGTGGCATAATGTGTGAGAATAAGAGTTGGATTTGAACCATTGTTCAGTTTTAAAATCAAACCAACCTATTAATCATGCTGTAAAAGATAATTGATCTGGTGTTTCTCATTAGTGTTGATCTGATACGACTCTTCAATCAGATTTCATTCGACGGTAGAGATCCCATTTTACCCTTCTCATTCTCACAAAAA